TAGTTTTATAACAGTTTTGAATACATATTTTGTTTTCACACTAAGAGATCCCAAGGAGCTTGTTTTAAGGATATATGAGGAAATTTCTGGGATCATCTTGAATGTTAATACAGTATGTAGAACAGGAGAGAAACAGTAGCTGAAGCTGTAAGAGTAGTAATATAAATTAAAACTTCGGTGTCTATTGGAATTTTCAGAAGTTTCCATGGAAAAACCAGTTTCTTTCCTTAGATGAAAGGTTACCGGTAACTAAATAAATCTACAAATGCTGTGCCTCAGAGGAAGGTTGTTTATGGATCCTCCTGCTGCAGCAGATAAAAGAATGTGGTTCTGCATAGAGCTACTAGTTTTATAACAGTTTTGAATACATATTTTGTATTATCAAGTGTATGTCAGTAGGGCTAATAAACATAGACATTATACAGCCTAATCAAGAACTACTACACTGCACAATCGCATAAGAGGCAGCCAAAGCCACTGCTGAAACCTATAGCAAAAGCACATATACATAAAAATATTTTTTTCAAGTCAAGAAATAATTAGGTTCTTTTTGAAGCAGTAAGCATGTGCTTGTTTTCTAAAAACATTCCTGAGTTATTTTCTAGCAATAACTTTTGGGAATATTGTCAATTCATACTAATGTTACCATTAAAACGTCCTCGTGCAAAACAAGGTTAGAATATGGGGGATGAACAGTTCGTATAACCTACATCTTATTTCAAATATCAGAGAATGATAGCCTGCTATCACCGAGACCAGCTTTCCAGAAGCATTTCTTACTGCAGAACATCATTCTATTTCCTTCATTATTTCATAACCATTTGACTATTTTCTGGCCTTCTGTGTTGCTTAATAGGCTTTGGCAAGCATACAAGAATTATTTTCAAGAGTGATGGTGTACAAAGCAAAGGCTAAGGAAAATGAGTTAGTAAAGCATTGTGTGGATGGTATTGGAGTACTGCACATGGGATGGTGCTTCTGAAACCTCAAGAGAACATGCAGAAGCTGCTTGTTAAAAATGCAGCTCATTCCTTAATGGTTTTAATACTAATCTCTACGATGTGTTACCACTGACTACCTGCTGAGCAGTGTTTCACCTGAACTCACAGTCTTTGAGGCTGAGGGGGAGGAACAGGTGAGCATAAACAGTCATGATGGTAGCAAAGACCACAGAGCAGTCACTGAAGAAATCGCCCATTTTTGCTGATCTGAAAAATTCACAACACCCTTATATTGATTATACCACACAAAAACAATAGATATTTGTCTCCAAACCCTGAGAATTGTTGCAACTTCTTCACAAATGTCATGTATTTGCCAGTTGATAGCATTTGTGACATTTCTCCCACATCAGATTCATATAAAATAATCTTTGCTCTAAATTTATGAGGTTGTTTATTTTTTTATTTTAAACAAGGGTTAGTGTTCCAGGTAATACATTCTCAAGAACATACCAGTATCACAAGATGCTTTAAGCTACTCTGCAAACAGAGTATAGGTCAAAAGAAATCAGCAATTAAGAATTAGCCAAATCAGTCTAGGGCTCTTTATGGTGTATTTGGATGCACTGCAGTCTCCTTTCAGGAGATAAAAACAGCACACATTGACTTTCACTAAAACTCAGACATCACGTTTTCTGTTTTTACATTCTGAGCAACAGTGTTTTCTGTTAACAAGGTGGAGAAAAAAAAAAAGCAAAGCACTTCAGGAAAAAATAAAGTTTTTAATTGGAAGTGACTTGGGACCTTTTCCCAATGCCTCATTTATATATACAGAAGCACTTTCAAGTGGTATATGTCACTGGGTAATTAACTCTGCACAAGAAAAATGAAGGGCAGAAATAATAAGAAATATAATTTCAATATTTTAGAAAGCTTTATCTTAGACAAACAAGCTTTCCCTGCTTGTCCCCACCCAAACCACTTTTCCAAGGGAGGGTCCAGAAATTCAGACCACGCTTTCTTTTCCTACCTTTTTCTAACAGGAAGGGAACTACTGTTCCCAGCTTGTTGGGTGGGTTTCTCAGGCAGAGGCTTTGCCTGGAACTACGCAAGTAAGTACATCAGTGATACCAGCTGGTGAAGATGAAACTCCCTTTACTGGTCAAGAACTATAGAGTTCCTCATCTGAATATTATTTCTCCTGTGTTAGACAACCCTATAATTAACTTGATTATTGTTCTTTACCCTCTTATGCACACAGAGTACATAATGTTAAATTAGTTTATGTATTTACTAACACCAGGTGTTTGACCTCACACTACATTAGCATAAACAGAATATAGGAAATATGTAACCTTTGATGAAGCATGACCATTCTGTGCCTATCCTGCACTTTCTCATCCACTAAATTTTAAAGGGGCGTTTTCAAGAGATTTTTCTCATCATCATTGCTGTTTCCAAAGTTAAATTGCTACTACAGCAGCTAAAAAAAGCCTCCTTAATCCTGAAAAAAAGCATTATAAAATTAAAAAATATTTTTCTGATAAACCATATTCCAAGTACAAGGAAGGTTTATTTACTAGGAGAAACTCTGCATTTTAAGAACAATTATAAAAATAACAAAAAAGTTTGTATTTTCTGAGCGTTATTTTACACTGTGATAAAAAGAACCAAGCTATCTCTAAGAAAGGCATAAAGAAAGCGACAGCTGTAAAGCAAGCTCTACAGTGATGTCCTCCCAGAGTGGAGTCACATTTGGGAAGCAAATACGAAGACTCGGAAAGTATTTTAAATTCATGCAAATGTTAACTTAAGATACAAAATACATGTATGTACATTATCTTAAACTAACCTTTAAAAAGGCTCTCTTTTCCAATGTATTCATTATGAAGGGAGGAATTGCTGCAAATGAGAAAAAACCCCAGCATTAACCTTGGAGAAAAAGGCACTTGGTTTTCATTTTCTGTTACGATGAACTAATACCACAATACAATTTTCACAGCTTTTTGTCATTAACTGAGCTTTCATGTCACATTGCCAATTCAAGATACTGCATTGGTATTTACAGAGGTAGTAAGCAAATAAGCAAAACTTCTAATTTCACACAAAACTAAACTTGAGCTCAGTAACTTGGCACTGGTCAAAGCACCTGCTCTTCAGTAAACTAATTCCACCCAAGCAGAATTTGCTACCATTCCTTTGCATCTGTATCTGTTCTGCAAAAGCATCCCAGGAGCTTTTCTGCTGCACTTCAGCGTAAGACAGAGTGCATGTTTTCACAGTAAGAAATGTACATTTCTTTGTGGAATTTCTTAACAGAAATGTAAATACTGCCTGCATAACTGTAAGATAATTTGACCTCTAAGAAAAATCACTTATATAGAATTTAAGCACACTCTCACATTAGGAACTGCTAATCAGGAGCTGCACGTGACTCCAGTTATTCTTACCCATGCCAGGAGCAGCCATAAGAATCCTTGATATAACCACCTGGGTAATTGCCTGCTGAGCTGCTTTTGTTGATTCACCCAGTCTGTTTCCGTTCTCATCCGTGATGGGGATTCCAAACTTGAGTTCCCTGTTGAATAAGGAATAAAAATGGAGCAGTGCCTGACATCTGTTTATTCACTTTTTGTCACCCTATCTTTGTCCCCTTAAAATTGTCAATTATAAGGCTTACGGTTTTTATTTTATTTTCCAAGTTAGCCTATTTGTAACACTCTTTGGCATAAAAATTTCAAAAGGCAGAGAAAGAGCTGGGGAAAAATATGCTGAAAAGTAAACAACTGAATATTTGTAACAACAATCTGCTGCTTGAACCTGGTCACACACATTCAAAGGGGGAAAAAAAGGAGGTGTGTTATTTCTGTAGTCCACAGAAGGGAGAGGTTCCTTCAAAAAGCAATTCAGGAAAGTGGAAGTTTCTGAACTGCTCTGGAAGTAGTCTGTCATTTCCGACAGACAACACAGGGAATACAGGAAGATTAGGTTCACTGAACTAAAACAGAAGTCCTTGTGAAAACTCCCCTCTGGCATTCTAGTCTGAGTTTTCATTTCAACCACTAAGAACGCATGTGAAAGTATAAAAGCATGCACAAAACAAACTACATTTCTAACTGTGTTACTCTCTATTAGATCTTTCCCTCAAGTGCAGGGTTAGGTGTTAAACTCACATTCTGGAGAGTACTTCTAGGGGAGTGAGAAGCAGACAGAAGGGCGGATATACCGAGGACTGCCTTTATTCTTCTCCTCATCTTTTATAAGAGATAAAATACCAACATGGATTGAAATTCATTGTAAATAGGAACTTTAAATATTCCTTTTCTGCTCATAATCTTGTGTTTATAAGAGGATGCTTTTCATTTGCTTTTCCCCACTTCTGTTCTTAGTCCTATTCCAATCAGAATACATATGAAATTTTGTTTCTGAGAAAGTGCATATTTTTGTAATCTCAGGGAATTAAACAGAACTGCAGAGCCTGACTTCTGTGACTAACTTCTGCATGTGGGATTTGAAGCACCATTTTTGAAATGACTGTATTTTTCAAAGTGTAGTTCTGCTTCAAGTTTTGGAAGACTGGTACTTGGTTTCTGAGATCTAAGACTGAAGAACTCTATGGATATTCATCTGAAGAGAATGAGGATGTTCTATTTTATACCTGTCACAATCAATCAATCAAAACAAGATCACGCATGAGGCTTTTGCAAGGTTCTGAAACAAGCTAAAGATATATAACGTGCTTTATTTAGTAACTTGCTTATCTAAACCCACGATAACATCCTTTCTTTTACAATGAGTGATCTTTGTTCTTTTTCCTACCTTTGTCTCATTAGTGGAATATTAATGCAGTTAGCAGCAGCAACAGCAGCAAAAGGAACAAAACGTCCTATAAGAGGTGAGACATGCTGTAAAAAACAGAGAGGGGAAAAAGAGAAATAAAAAAGAAAAAAAGGAAGAAAAAAAGAGAAAAAAAACCAAATAAAAAAAAGAAAAGAAAAAGAATTACATAATAATTTTTCCCAAAAGTCACATTAAAATGCTTCATGTGCTAATGATAGCCCAGACTTATTTCCTTTAAATTAAAATTCAGTGAAAACTCACTGGTGAGGCTGAGGTGAAACAACAAACAAACAAGACATAAGTCATAAGTACATTCTTGGAGAGAGCAGTGGCAGGAGACTGGCAAAACCAATCTTAATTTAGTAGCATCAATCACAACAGAGAAGTGTCAGCTTCTGAGCATGCCCGTCAGCCCAATGGCAACACTAAACAGACCTTCACTTCACTGTCCCTGCTGGCAAGGTCACAGCTAGCAACACCCATACCAGCTGCTTTGCAGCTAAGGGCACTGACTATGGAGGCTGTTCATCTAATCAATGTCTTGTATAACCTGAATTACTCTGCTTAGAACAGCCTCTCAAAACTTATCAATGCTATGCCATTCCCAGTACATTAAACCATAAGCAGAGCGGTACAAAATAGATTTTTGCCTTTTTGGCAAGGTCACAGCTAGCAACACCCATACCAGCTGCTTTGCAGCTAAGGGCACTGACTATGGAGGCTGTTCATCTAATCAATGTCTTGTATAACCTGAATTACTCTGCTTAGAACAGCCTCTCAAAACTTATCAATGCTATGCCATTCCCAGTACATTAAACCATAAGCAGAGCGGTACAAAATAGATTTTTGCCTTTTTTTTTTTTTTTTTTTGTAAAGGATCTTTTTTTCTTGATTGTGTTTTACGCTTGTTTAAACCATTTGAGTTTTCTGCATTTAAGAGCGGCACCTCCTTACAAGTTCTTGAGCCAGTCTAGACTGGGTGTCCACGTTTGTAGAAGCGATACCGAGCCTTAAAAACACACCCATACAGTTAATGGGATAGTGATTCCACATTGTTGTTATTACACATCCATTCCAATTAACTTTCAAATGATATTAGATACTTTGACATGTAAAAAAGAAACTGCAAAAAAGACACCTTCTTATATATAGTTTGTATTAACAAAAACCAAGGCTGTTTGATATACATAAAAGGAGGACAGGCTGTTCGAAATACATATAAAACCACTTACATGGGGCAAAAATAAGGTTGGGATGTAAAGAAGGGAGCTGCTAATGGCCACTTCAACTCCATACTGGGAGCTGTGCATAACATGACACAGATATGCAGGAGGAGAAATGAGCCATTTGCATCTCATAGAACACCAAATTCTAGTTAAGAATAGAAAAAAATAGCAATACCTTTGTTAGTGCATTAAGTCCTAAAGCTGTTGCAACAGCACCCGTGGTAGCAGAAACATAGGCTGTTCCCAGCTGGCTAAAACAAAAATAAAAGTGTTTGCACATGCACAACAACATTTATGCAACTTTAAAAAATAATTACGTTTTAAACATGTAGTTATGCTCCCCCAAAAGTTGAGAAGTAGACCTTCCTGTGACACTGCAATAAGATGCAGATGGAAGATTCAAATGGGACACTAAATACTTTTCTTTCACTAGTAGTAAAAATCACATGCAAGCAACGTTTTAACACTGAATCAGGTTCTGCATTGCTATCTGTTCGGCATTGTCTCATGTGTCTGAATGAACACCTTGAAGGACTTAGTTCTGTATTTGATTTCCTAACTGCTTAAACTAATAAAATCAGTTTGGATTTCTAAGGCCGAATCTACAATAGTAATTAAAATCAACTGTACTGAAACCCATACATGCAAACCAGTTATGCTGCAAACACCCAAAACCAACCCAGTCTGCCCTAAACCATACGTTACATACTTCCCAGCTAGGAGGTGTCTGTATATCCTTGAATCCACTCCTTTCTCCTTGACTTCTCTAAGCAAGTCAGCCTCGAAACCAGGAAGTCAAGCACTGCAATTCCAGTCTCCTATTTATGATTTCTAGCTTTCTGCATCTATTTAATCTTCTCTTTGCCTTCAAGTAGAAACTAGTCGCATGCAGACCAGTTCCTTGAAGGGTCCTCTTTTTGTAAGTAAGCACAGAGCGTGGTGTGTGCTATGCTGCAGGGCACTGAGAAGATGACAGAGACACCTGAAGGTCCACACAAAGCATCAACTTAGAAATATCCTGGTATAACACGAAACTGATGAGACACTTTCAAATGGTTGACTGAGCAATGCAACACAGACTCCTATTAAATCCTACGCTGTTAAGTGCTTATGATCAAGGTGCTTAGGCTTATATTTAATGGCAGAAAAGGAGTTCTCTCCTCCATCATTCTCAGATTTCTCACCTGTGTGCATCAAATAGATAATAAGCATAGAAGAAAAAAACTTATCCCCCTATTACCTCAAACTTTAAATCCCAACCATGTTCCAGTACATCAGAGAGCAACTAATAAATGCATCATAAGTATCTGGCTCAGTGGCTGACCTGACAGTAATTGGGGCATCACCACTCCTGTTCGTGTAATTTACTATCGCATTGAAGGACTGGTTAATCCACTGCCAGAAAACCACCGCTGGCGTTGTTCTTGAAAAGAGAAACAATTATTATTATTAAAAATACAGTTGAATCAACAGCACAGAAGAATGACAGCAAATCAAGAAAAGCAAGTGCAAGCAGTAATCATGCAGAGGTTCTTGTTTATCTGAATGAACCAATACAGTCAATGAGATACTGTCTTAACAATGAAAGCCCAAGCTACTTCTAGGAAAAGAATTTAAAAGCATTGTAATTAAATAGCAAGGTTCACTTGGGACAACGGTTTGTTCTAATAACAAAAGCATTATAGCAAACCTCTCTATAAAAACACATAAAGAAATATGAAACTCTCTAATTTCTAGAATACTTTTCCAGGGTTATTATTCCTTTACTAGTTCTCTTAGGAAGCTCCGTAAGTGACTGAGAGGTGCATTTTAGGAGACAGGGTTTATCTTCTCAGTCTTCAAAGAGCTAATATTATGCCATTGTTTTAATAAATCTGTGTGACATTAAAACATTCAGTCATGTGTAGAACCAGAAAAAAAGACACTCAACTCCAAAATGAAAAATGATTTTCATAAAAACATCCACACATTTAAGAAGTACAGGTACAGCACAGAAATTAGTCTGGTTCAGTACAGCATGAACCAGATGACCAGCCATCAAAAAAGAAAAAAAAAGCTCCAAGAAATCCTCACAAATTATGTCAGTGCCAGTATGCAGATGCCTTAGGACAAAAAGGTGCTAACTTGTGAGCACAGGTGGGGGGCAGTGGGAAAAATACATTCTGTATAAGTCATAGAGTCCCCATTTAACAAGCTAACGTGGTCCGTGTTAAACTGCAGATATAATCATTTTACAAATGGTTATGCTGGTAAGTTACAAAAGTGACAGTCAATTCGTTTCACAATATATGGGGCTGTCTTTTGGAGGGATGAATGCTTTTGCTCTCAAGCCAGTAGTATACTGAAGGAACGGGACAAACTTACGAAAAAGAAAACCACTAAAGACCTCTAGATCAGGAAGTTCCCGATCCACAAATAGTTGGATGCTAGGAGAGCGTACCAGGGGAAAAGTGTTTCTTAGTGTACTCAGACCACAAACTTTGCTCCCAGTGGAGAAACCACTGAAGATTCTCCTCCAGCAGAAGTTCAGTCAGGCCACCAAAAATAACAGCTGCTACTAAAAACTGTGTCCTGAAGATTAAAATAACTTTTCATAGGAGTTTAAAGCTTATACTTAATCAAATTATTTAACAACATAGGCAGTAATGGTAACAGGAATGTGGTTCTCATTGGAGGGCTGACATGGAAATTAAGAGTACTCTAGAAAAAGCAGTAGTTGTACCAATTATTCTGTAACAGGCAGGAAAGCAGAGAGGAGATGCTAGAGCAGAAGGGGTGTGTCTATCATGAGGCTTTCGTTCTGAAATGGGAAGATATATTATTTCTTTAAATTGCAAAAAATTGGAAGATTCAGGAGATTTGAAAGTGTATTACTCCCTCCAGTTTCCAATATCTGAATGAGATGCCAAAGTAAAATGATAAACTAGCTGGATTTTTACCGTCACTACTGCTGGTTCTTCCTCCTTTCTTCTGTGCATATGCAGCTTTCCCAACTCATCTTCTCCTGTTTCCTTGCTACTGCTATGTACAGATGTTAGGCTTGCTATAAAGTTCATGCCTCACTGCATGCCCAAGAGCCCTCATAGATATAACAAGGAATTTGCTTCTTCCAGTGACATGCAGCAAGATGGACACTACACTGCACCACCCAAGGACTTCTACACAATCCTGTTTGCACTGCTGAGGGTTTGGACCAGAGAAACCAATGTTTTCCAGACTAATACACCACCTAGTTTTGAATCTAAGTCACTCTACCAATAATGCAAAGAAAAGGTTTATAGCTCCTATGAGTATTACAGATGATAACAAAACATGCATAAACGAATAACCAGTTAACAGGAAGCCGTGCTTGTGAATGGGCAGCTATACTGATGGTTTTATTCATATTCTCAACCATTTTTTAAACACACACGTTTATATGCACCACTCAAAATGACTGTGCCTTTCTGGAGTGCAAGTCAAGAATTTGTAAAATCTCAGCATCAAAAACTCTATTGTTATTTCCTCTGAACCTCCCACCAGTTCTTGCTAACAAAGCACCGTGTCACAAAAATATTTCTAACATGGAGTTGACTAACAGATGATACTGTCTTCTGCTGTGGACTTCACTGTATTGGTGATTCCAGAACTACTGAGGAAATGGAAGGATCTAACAGGACCTGGAGAAACTCGATGACTGATGGACCGAAGCATACTGAGTACTCACTTGGCAGACAGAACATCCTACATGCCAGATTTCTAAGGTTAGAAATTCCCAGGTATCTCCTCCTCTTTGTCCTCCACACAACTCTCCTACAAGGATGGGATTTTGGAACATTTGACTTTCCCAGTTGGAGGAAAAGTGGGATGGTGAAGAAGAGGGGCTAAGGGCTTATCTCACAACTACTTCTAGAGGAAACCATTAATCAGTGTGAGGGAATGCAGAGAGGGAAAAGAAAAGGAAGAAAAATTTTACATTTTAAAATATTTATTATAAACCTTCTAAAATGCTCTTTTGACAATAACATTGATTTTCACTTATCTAATTTGTAGGCAAATGTTTTATGTGTCATATTGCCATCACTTACCTATAAAAGGTCATCATACAACCTGTGATAGTCATGTTCATGGGTACCTGAGCTGACATGCGGCCAATCAAGACCATCTTTTCACCAGTGTCTGGGTGAAAGGCCGAATCATAGATATATTTTGCTCTCCACAAGTCATCTTCTGTCAAGCCAGGTGCCACAATACCTTGTCTTGGGACAAGTTAAACAACAAAGACAACAGCAAAAAGCAAAACTGTTATAAAATGCTGCTACCTCCAGTGACAAATAAGATTTTGGGATGTTCATACTATGTTAATCTAGCCTCATAGTTATCTTATAGAGCTTAAGCTTTTAAATGCACAGGTGAAAGAAAAAGAATCAAAACTCCCAGCAGTGTTTATGTTGGCTGAGCTGATATATCCAGCACCAAATTTCCATGTATTCAAACCTGGACTAGATTTTAGAGCTAAAATATAGAGCTAAAATTTCTGGAGTCATTAGCATAGAACTTTGAAAATTTACTTTGAAAGTATTTAAGAAACTACCTGCTTCAAACAACATAACACAGAAGAAGAAGTTTTAAACTCTGTTGTCAATATTAACTATTTTCAGAATTAGATGCTTCCCTATTTCAGAATACTTAAATAGGGGTTCTCAGAGGACATAACCTCCCCACTCATTAGCAAATTTGTTTAAAAAGTGTTTCAAGCTCTGAAATAAGAGGAAAGAGCAGTGCAATGAATACAGTGTTTTAAATATTTCCTTTTAAATATATAACCATGTACTTAATCGTTGACATGGACTTTTTTTGGGTGAGCAGTAAAAGTGATCAATACCATACCTGTAATCATGCACAATTTTTCTTGCATTTTCCAGTTGGGCATCAGATAACAAAATATTCCGGGGGTCTGTTACAGTAAAGAAGTGACTGGCTCGTCCAACAAAAGTGCTTTGATCCCATCGGGGCTCCTTGATATTAATATTTAATGGTATATCTGCTGACATCTTCAAAAACTGTGAAGAAAACATGAAAATTTGCAATTCAGAATTCCACTTATTTCACAATGTATCTATAACCTGCAAAATGAAAAGTGGTTATGCTTAGAGTGAAAAAACAGAACAAACACCAAACAACTTGCAGAACTGAGGTTTAAAGGGGCAAGTATATATATAGAAAGCAGCCGATGTCAGATATCATCATAGGTTTAATGAGGCTGGTATTTATAGAAGTAAAAAACCAAGAACTTAGTTAAATATCTACAAAAATGTTTCTGTTTCCCCAAGACATTTATATGTTACATCTTCGTAAGAGTACAAGTGTCTGATTATGAGACAGAGGAACATCATATACATGTACAAATACGTGAGGATGAAGCAGATGCAAAGGAAGAACAGAAATTTATTAATAAATAGCTGTACTGAGTAACAATATAGTAAAAAGAGAGATTAAATATTTTAAGAGATGCCTGAAGAGCTGCTATAAAGTGCAGTGACAGAATAAATAATTAATAAAATCCAGTTAATTTCCCTGGCATAGGAAAACAAAACAAAAATAAGGAACATGAAGCCAACAATTTCTTTTCGGAAATGTCGTTTCTCTAAATGCATGTTTGAACAAACACAATTATGTAACTGCAACAACTTGCCACATGATGAACACATCTCCTAATGATATTTCAGAGATGGTTAAAGAACTACAGTGAAGGGCACTGAACTAACATAGTTGTGCATTTACGGGGTCTAAAGCCCAGAAACTTAAAAATTACTTCAGGATGTCTGAGTTTACTTCAACATTTAATGAAAGAAGGACAGCCCCTGCATAGCACAAGCTATATGAACTTTAGCTTTCTTAAAGAGAAATTTCTGCAACCCATTCAATAGCCAGTTTTAAAAAAAAAAGCCATCCTTCAAATAACACTTGTAATTCAAATGGCTGAAGTAAACTGGATATATAAAAATACAGGTATCACATAGCATTTCATCTAACAGGAAAAACATCATCATTCTGAGGACAACTGATACATATGGTGTAAGCTGCCGCTGAACAGTATTTACCTCTTAACTCAAGAGGTTGTTAACATCATGAAGTTGTCGGAGACATTTCGGTCAATTTGATGAAACTTACCTGATGTAGAACAGGAAACTGGATATATAAAAATACAGGTATCACATAGCATTTCATCTAACAGGAAAAACATCATCATTCTGAGGACAACTGATACATATGGTGTAAGCTGCCGCTGAACAGTATTTACCTCTTAACTCAAGAGGTTGTTAACATCATGAAGTTGTCGGAGACATTTCGGTCAATTTGATGAAACTTACCTGATGTAGAAAAAAAAAAAAAAAAAAAAAAAAAAAAAGGACGATGGCACTGAGCACCAGACACAGTTGTAAAGCTGTGAAGATAAGGTTGCAAAAATGCGGAGTAACTGCATTACACATGAAGTTAAGCAATGTTTAAAGAGGATTTGGCAAGTACATTCTAATCAGCACTGCCAAATATTTGAGGCAAAGTCCCACATCTGGCAACAAAGAAAGCAAAGTAACCTACTGCTAAGTACACCAAACTTTGAGAACTCAGAAGGGATTAACTAAGTAATAATGAAGGGTTGTCCTTCACAATCACAGCATGATTTACAGCTGAAAGATGAAAATCTCAGCTAGTATTGCTAAATAAGTTTGTTAAAAATTTATTAGAAAATGTGAATTTGGTGCCACTCAATAGAAACTTCGTTCCTTTCAAACACTTACTGGTAATTAAAGTTTCTTTAAGTTAAATAATCAATTTCTATTAAAAACCCAAGGAGTTTGTTTTCATCAAATGAAAACAAACCAAAGCAAAGCATTTAGGATGTTTATCTATTATTTTTATGTTTAGCTTGTATTATTTATGACAGAATAGCAAAAAAAAAAAAAAAAGCATTAAATAAGAAAGATCTCTGCTTTGCACCAGACTCAAGCTCTTCCTTGAACAAATAATCTCCAATTCTACAGAGCGGATCTTATTAAATTTTACACAAGCTAAATCAATTTGGTTAAAAATCACACAAAAACTACAACTACACAGATATTTCTGTGTCCTGCTCTCTAAATTTTCCTGATGTCAGGAGAAACTCAGAGCTGTATTGGCAAAGCAGAGCCGTTTGCCTTTGCAGTGTAGAGAGCAACTGTGTAAAACCAAGCCATGTTTTTACAGGTATTGCTGAATTCTGGATAATCATGAACTGACAGCACAGGCTGCAGGTAGGACACCAGTAGGATTGCTTTTGCTTTTTCCTGATGAACTGTATCAGGAGCTTAAATGCTTAATTAATCCTTGCCAGACAAGTTTAAAATTCACAGTTTCTACTCCGAGTCATCATGTGCGAGGTTGTTTCAAATTCCCAAATCAGTATAAACTCTCACAGCTTTTGTTGCACTATTAACACCCCTCAGCTGTTCGACAAAAGCATAAATATTTCTGAATGCTTGGACAAAGGAAAATATACTGAAGTATCCCCAGAAAATGGTACTGTTAAAATAATGTGATCATCTGAAATGTCAAGGCCAAGGTTTTCTATACCTCTCTCCATCCAACACAGTGGTCTTTCTGTATTAATAAGTGAAACCAGAACAAATGATGAAATAAAGCCAGTTTCTACTAACAAAAATAAGACCTTATGACCAGCATCAACCGTACTGAGAACTGAGCACACAGAGCTGGATTTACCCCTTTCTCAAGAGTTATAAAGCTCAGTTGACTTGGCACTGACCCGAGCCAGCAGCTCTGAACCCCTGGCTACAAAGACGACTCCTGTAGCGCAGTGTCTTCTTTCCCATCATGTGTATAGTACATGGAATATGAGCTGCAGTGTGTTATTGCATAATTTTAGTTTAATACATTAAAATGGTACTGTGAGGTGCAAAAATATGCTGATTGTATTTGGTGAATGTTATGAATATCAATGTATTTCAATGATTAAAATGAACATTGATAAATGTATTTCATATTATTAGATCCGACCTACTGAATACACTTCCTTGCTCTTTAACTACATCATTTTTCTCTGCTGGCCTCCAGTTTTTCTTTGGTACAAGAGACATGAAAAAATACATACTGTTCCAAAGGCCTGTTCATGTATTAAAATTTGCAGTCATTAACTCAAATAAGTAAGCATAAAGCAAGTGTACAAGCAGCATCAGCACTGCTGCTCCAACTTACAGTAAATGTAATAGTAATTCCACTACCCTCCAATCTTAAAGTTTCATCAAGTTAGGGAAGGTCCTAAAGCTTTCCAGGATACTAAACGGCTAATAAATGTGGTACAGTAGGGGAAACGAATCTTTTTCCCCCTCCTTCCATCCCATTTCCTGCACTGTTAAGGTTCATTATTGTATGGCAGCTTTTATTAAGGTCTTTACTGCGTGCTGAGACAGGATTTCCCTACAGTGAAAAAATAAATCTGACAAACTTCAAGAAAATAAGGTGCCATAGCAATATATCACTTACTAAGCTAACCTTGAAGCATGAAGGCATTTGTATCAGAATTACATCTGACATTAGACTGGTAAAATCTAACATTACTTCTTTTTCAGCTTACTCCAAAGACATTTAGAGGTGTTACCAGCTTTTTAGCACTGTTAAGGAGCATCCTTCTCCCCACACACAGGTAAAAGAAACAGACAATTAAATAACATAACTTGGCTCAAGACCACAGGTCAAGTCACAAATGACCGCGGAACCTAGACCTCCTGACCTGTGTTCTAAGTGCTGCTGATATGGCAAGACACAAGTTATTATTTCACAAAAGTAACGAAAGATGGAAAGGCACTGAGTAAGAAGCAGAGAATTCATCCCTCACTTCCAGCTGAATGTTCTTGTCTTTCTATTCCGCGCTCCTGTTTGCTACAAGTGCTCCCACGGTTACGAAACAGTTTAAACCACCACAATGTGGACACACCTGTGGATTAGTAGGATTATTTTCACGTGATAAATTTCTCACCAGGCATGTTGCGGAACGAACACAGATCATGGAAAGGAAAAAAGACTCGGGACAGATTTGGAGAACAGAGTTCTCATGCAGAGTGTCTGAATAGGAGATGCTGCTTAGGCCTCTTTTCCCTTTCTTCGTACTATACCATTAAAGAATCCCTCCTGTGAACAGTGATACCTTGTGAAAAACCAGACCATCTTCTGGTCTAAAATGATAACTGCTGGTTTTGCAAAGTAGTACGCTATGAAAGCAGGGCGAACTAATTTCTTCAAAAATTCTTTTCCAGTTAAAAAAAAAAATAAAAAATCTGTACATTAGGGCTAGTAAGTCATTCTACGAATGCCTCCCTATAGATAATATTATTTGTAGGAAAGTCAGAGTTTAAATATTTTTCCAATTAAATTATCAATTTCATTAAGAAAGATTAAAAACTGCTTAGGATAGCTTATGGTAATTTGTTTGAAGCTGTCTAATGAATGCTTAATAAGGCAGTCCATAAACGGAAGCTCTTTTCTTTTCACTCTGAGTAGCACATATACTACTGGGATGTCTGTGAATTGTTTTTATATACTTATGATACTGCTGTCTGCAAAACCAAGTCCTTTAGAAATAAGAAATCTAAACAATAAGGATCTGCCTTCGCTGCAGATGGTTCATGGTTCAATTCAGGATCATTTCACTCTATTTCATTTAGCCTAGCCCAGCAAAGGTGAATCTACAGAAAACAGAAGACCTACCACTTCCACATCCTATCTTTATCCCCTCCCCACTTGATGGATGCTCCTTGAGCTATGTGTGCTGCTAGAACTTATTACCCTGGCAGAAAACTAATGCAGCAGAAAGAAAAGGGAGGCCAGCTCAATCTCCTGGATTAGTATGTTGAACTGGCATAGCAGAAGGTCTAGGAGCATGAAAGGTCTGCACTCCCATGCTCCTTCAACAGACTAACCAGTGACCACCTTGGGTAACCATTTTGCTCAAGTTCAGGATCTGCAGATGCAGGAGGACCCAGATGTAATTCAAATCTTGAAGCCTAGC